ACACAAAAAATATATATATATATATATATATATATATATATATATATATATATATTAATGCATAATAATTACATCATATTGTTGATATATTAATGTACTAATATACTTTTAGTCGTACAAATAATATAGAAACAAAATAATTATAATGCCTAACATTATTTTTTGTTATTAAGTGACAATTCTTTATTCTTTCTATAGGAAAATAAGTTTATTAATCAATTAATTTTTTATCTTGTCTCTTTCAATTTTCTTTTATTTTTTCCTATTTTTTTTTCTTTTCAACACTCAAATTTCCCTTATCTTTGAAAAATTTCTACAATAAAATAATTAATGAGTTATCTTATGAAAATTAAGTAGGTAATTATTACACCATTCTTGAATTATTTTGTAGATTTTTATGTATGTGTATATATACATATAATGCTTATGGGTTATTAAGATATTAGGAGATTTTATCACTTTGAAATCACATCAAGTTACTTTGATATGATCATCAAAAGTCATGATTGTTGTGTATTTTTTTTATTTATCTTTATTTTATTGTATTATTATTTGTATGTGTAATTTAAGTATTATTATATTTTTTTTACTAATATATGAAATTAGTTTGGTTTATTGTTGAAGTTTGTGCTTTTTCAGGTAAAGTTGGACAAAATGAAGTTTCCACACTACATGTGAACAAAACTAAAGGAAAATCGAAATTGGAATGCAAATACGTACGTGGTTAAATGCTTTTAATGAAAATTGTGCATTGAATATAATTTTCTAACTTTAATGTTATACATTTTCATTTTACATTTCATTTCCTCAATTATAATCATGTACAAGAAATGTTATATTTGATGTGCTTTATTTTTTCAGAATAAAAAGAAAATCAATAAAAATAGCAAACATGGACAAGGAGAAGCCCCTCCAACTTACCCGCCTCAACAATTCATAGGTCTTTATATTTGCAAGGAATATAATGGAGTTAGAAATTTGGGAACTGTTCTTTCCTATGATCCTAAAACAAAGTTATTCCAAGTATGTGTTTTTCAGTTCATGTCATTGATCATTTGTATTCCTAATATATGCATTGGTTAATGTGTAAATTTCTTTATATCTTTTTATTATTCGTATGTCAATATACTTAAAATTCATTTACAACATTCTTAATTTACAATTTAGCTAAATATTATTCTTTAGTAAGATAAATAGAGTTCATTTACGACTTTAGCTAGTTAATTATAAAACTTTTGAAATATAATTACTACATCATTATAATTAAATGAATTGCCCATTGAACTATTTGGTTGTAGATTTTGTATGATAATGACAAGACAAATGATATGGAGCTAGCTGAAATTTTGAAAAGTAAGGCAACTGCGAAAGATATATTTGAGGCTCGACAAACATTACAATTAAGGTACAACAATCGATAATTTACTTCAACATTTTCTAGCAAACAAATGAAAGTTTTCAGTTGAAATTTGATATCTTCTAATCAATCTATTATAGCACTGCAAATAATTTTGATATATTATTTATTCATTATTGAGTGTGCATTTTAATCTATGAACTACAATTACAGCAATAGTTCTGAGAAGAACACTAATGAAGAAATGGAAAAAGCTACAATAAGTGAAGAGGAATAAACTCCAATAAGGAAGATAAAAAGTGCATCAAATTAAAAAGGAAGGTCCATGGGTTGCTTCCAAGGTTTCGAACAACTAGCAACAATTATATTATAGATGACTCTAGATAAATAATCTTATGTGTTTTTTTGGGTTAGTGTAAGTGCACTTATATTTTTTATGGTAACTATATTTGGACACCTATATAATACAAACACTCTATCGACATTTATTATTTCTCTTTATCTTTTTCTGCTTATCATATCACATCACTTATTATTATATTTATATATTTTTAAATCTCTTTTCTTCCCCCCCCCCCTTTAGTGTTCATTAGTATGTGGGTGTCCATGCATCATTTTCTCAACTTCTGAGCTCTTAAAATTTACTAATGTGACAAAATAGTAGGTTGTAGTAAAAATATTTTATTTAATAATTTTTTTTCACATGTATGTGAGTTTGAACAATTAGAGTCGATGCATATAGAAGTAGAAAGTAGTTAAATTAGTGAAAACTTTAAGTTACATATGATGATGGACTTATAAACTATATAACATATCATCATTAACAATATATCATTTATATTATTTTGTTATTTTTCTTTAATAGCTGTCTTTAATGATGAATTATGTTTGTTAATGATCATACCTTTTATATTTGTTAATAATTAAAATATAAAACTTACAATTTAAACTTTTTGAGAGAAACTAAAATGATTTTTTCTCTATTATTTTTAAAAAATACAACATAGTCTTTTTAAGAGATTAATATAGATTATTTTTTAATTTATTTTATCACAAATGTTTTTTTTAAAGGTAAATGAACAATACTTACATGAAATATCTAAAAATATTTTTCTTCATTATATAAATCATAAGTTTATTAATAATCCACGGAAAGCATTGTATTATAATATTTATGACTTTAGAAGATGTAAGGTGTTATCAAAACTTTTCAAATAACAAAGGATCTATTAAGTCTTCAAATTTAAAATACTGACATAAATTTTATTGTTGAAAGCTTTAATAAGTATTAAAATGTGTTTCTAAAACACGCTCCTAATTTTAATTAATAATGTGATATTTTCATATTTATTTACAAAGAAAGTTGTTCTTTAAACGATATAGTATAATCCTGCGTGCACAATTTTAATTTTAAAAGTTATGAACATAACTTATTATTTAAAAATATAAACAATTTGATGTGTGTAAAACTTGTGGTATAACATTCTATATTTATAAACAATTATAATATAAAATATTTATTTAATGTATGTGTAGATCAGATAAATTTATATTTTATAAAAAGTTATTGAATCTATCATTTCACTAATGTATGTGTATTAGACTAGACAAATTTGTATGCTATAAAAAAGTTATTAAATATGTCATTTCACTATTGTGTGTATGTTAGATTAGATAAATTTGTAGTTTATAAAAAAATTATTGAATGCATCATTTCACCGATTTAACACAATGATTGTATGAGAAATAAAAGAAGAAAATCATAATCTTTAAATTATATATAAAAATAATTAATAATCAAGATTAAAACACAAAAATAGATATTATTTTATATGATTATTACTACTATTTTTTTTCACAATTATCAATATCATTATTATCTACCATCGCAATTATTAGTATCATTATCATCACTCTTATTATTGTTATTATCACTACCGTTATTGTATTTGACAACAACACTAATAACTATAACGACAACATGACATAATGATAATAGTGACAATACTGTCATTATTATTTCTATTAGTGTTATCATCATGTGATGGTGGTTTCATTATTGTTGTTATTATCATTATTGAAAATGTGATCATGACAACAATAATACTACAATAATGATAATTAAGATGACAAATGACAATGATGATAATTGTTGAATGTATAATAGTAAAAATAATCACACATGTATGTGTTTTTGTCTCATTTAAATTTCTGTCTTAAGCATTTGTTTATCCTGTTTATCACTATTCACCATGTCTTTAATTTTCATGGAATAAACTAAAAGAAAATACTTAAAATTATCAAATATTCACATCAGTACTGTTGCAATGCTCAACCTTCCTTGGTGATGGTTGTAAGAAATAAAAAAAAATGAAGTTAAAAAAATACTTCAGCCTTAATGGTTCAAATTAGTGTCATCTCTCTTATTTTCCCCCCTTCATTAAACCATTATTTCACCTTCCTTTTCAGTAATTTGGCTCATTCTACAAGATTATATCATGTTCTTTGATTGTAATTATTATTTTTGGATAAACATTCAATATTTGGGTTGTCTCAAATTTCTTTTAACAAATTTATTTTGAAAAGATGAAGAATGACAAAAGTGCAGTAATTGTAGAGAAACCATGGTTTTGGTTTTGAGAAGACGAAGTTGGGATTAGAACATACATTTTGAAAGAAGAGAAAAATAAGTGGTGAAAGAGAGAGAAATGAATGAGAAATGAGTTTTTGTTTTTTTAAAATTAAATATAAAATTACTAAAAAAAATTATTACATTCATGTTTTAAAATTTTAATTAATTTTTAATAATTTTTGTAGTTAAATTATTGAAATTAATAAAACCGTCATAAATAACTATTCATATTACGATTTCAAGGCACCATAAATTAATTTGAAGACTTTATTATAAAAAAATTTTAAAATTAAGAATGTAATTGTAGTTTTTAAGTTTAGAAACTTGGAAAAATATTCCGAGGCACTGAGATTATAGTATTCTTTGAAATTTGAACGAAACCGGTGAGGCCCATTTCCACGTACCCGACCCGCACAGCCCCTGATTCTCGACGCAGAACCCTAATTGCCGCATCCTCTTCCACCGACCCACGAGATCCAACCGCCGCAGCACGACGGCGTCGCTTCTGAGTCCTCCGGCACACATCTCTCTCAACAAGTCGGTGAGCAATGCTGGGGTTTTCATATGGAGAAATATTTCTGTTGCTTGGAGCCACTGCTGCTTTGATAGGTTGGGTTACGCTATTCTTAAATCTGTTTATCACATGGAAAATTCATATATAGTACAATTGGAAAATTGATGTGTAATAGGTCCAAAGGATTTACCAATCATAGCCAGAACAGCTGGAAGGCTCGCCGGTAGAGCTATTGGATACGTTCAATTGGCTCGTGGTCAGCTTGACACTGTTATGCAGCAATCCCAAGCTCGCCAGGTATTCCCTTTCTCATATTCAAATGTCTTATGGATAATTGGAAAAAAAAATGTTGGAGATGTCACATATTCCAAGTAATGTATATAGTTTTTGCTTGAATTCGACCAAAACCCAGATTTTAACATGGCATCAAAGTCTATATTGATGAGTGTTGTTAGACTTATGAGATCACTTGTTATTCGATTACTCATAGATGTCTAGTTCCATAAACTTTATACTTTAGATGTTCAGTACTCAATGTAATGAAGAGTGTATTAGAGATATCACATAATGTATATAAATGGGATAATGTATATAAATGGGGGGGCAATTCTCAACTTACAATTTTGCATTCTAGATTCTTAACAAAATGTGATTCACTGTGATTTTCTTAGAAAGTAATGTCAAATAAGAATGCTTGTCCATGCTAGAACTTGTTAATTAATGACATTCCATTATCAAAAACTGCATTTTATTGTATTGACCTGTGATAGCAACCCAATCATTAGTGCCACTCCAGCCCATGATGCTCGGCCCAAGAGACACACTAGAAGGCCTAATTACCTGAAGGACTTTGAATAGATACTGGGAATCACCTTTAGAGAAATTGGCAGCCCTCTTAGGTGTCATTGACAGTTGTTATTGCAGCAGGAGTTTGTTAGAATTGTTGTCACCCATCCTTGTTTTTACATTTTGGCTAGTAGATTCCTTTTTTCGGTTGCCGTCATTTGCGGAGAGCCAATGATTGGCAATTGTAATCCTTATAAATACCACCTCAAATAAAATGAAAGGGATATTCAGACCATAATTCTCTTCTTAGTAGTAAAATAGGTTCGCATATCATTCTGGCTCTATCAATTGGTCTGACCTGCCATGGCTGACCATAATACTCGCAAATCAGCCATCGAACGCTTAGATGAAGCCATCCTTCGCCTTACCCAGGGACAAACCGCCCTCACCAACAATCACCTCGAACTCTCGCGTAAGGTGGATACTATCCTGGACCGCCTGGCTCACCTCCAAAACAGCCCTCCCTCCCCACCCAAAACACCTTTCCACTTCCGCCCTCCCATCAAACTCGAAGTCCCACGTTTCGATGGTCATGATCCTATGGGATGGATCTTTAAGATCTCTCAATTCTTTGATTATCAGGGCACTCCTGAGGATGAACGTATCACCGTTGCTTCTTTTTATATGGACGGCCCAGCTCTTAGCTGGTTTCAATGGATGTTTCGTAATGGCTTTATCACGTCGTGGCCAGCCTTACTTCAGGCTCTTGAGACGCGCTTCGCTCCTTCATTTTACGATGACCCTAAGGGTATGTTGTTCAAACTTTTTCAATGTGGTTCTGTCAATGAGTACCACACCGAGTTCGAAAGACTCGCCAACCGCATCGTCGGACTTCCTCCGGCATTCTTGTTGAGCTGCTTCGTTTCTGGGCTTGCACCAGAATTGCGACGTGAAGTTCAAGCCCTCCAACCCATTTCGCTTCCTCAGGCGGCTGCCTTGGCCAAGTTGCAGGAAGATAAACTCAACGACCGCAAACGACCGTTTCGCAATACTACGCAGTCTTCGTCATCCACTACTTTGGCCTCTTCCGCCTCCAAACTTCCTTTCAAGCATTTGACACCAGAAGAATTAGCGTCTCGACGCGAGAACGGTCTCTGTTATAACTGCGACGAAAAGTTTAGTGCTGGCCACCGTTGTAAGGCTCGCGCTCTATTACTCATTGCTGACGACGACACGTCTCACACCACTTCCGACCTTGACCCCCCTCCTCATGACCCCACAGAACCACTGCCACCTGAACCCTCTCTTCCCCACATTAGCCTGAACGCCCTTTCTGGCCTTTCCGCCCCGGAAACTTTTCGCGTTTTCGGCCTCCTCAACCAGCACCGTGTCACTATCTTGGTTGATGGCGGCAGCACCCACAATTTTGTGCAACCTCGAGTCGCCAAGTTCTTTGACCTCCCCACCATTTCAACTGACCCATTACGTGTCATGGTCGCCAATGGTTCTGTACTTGACTGTACCGAACTTTGCCCCCAAACAACCCTCCAGATTCAGGACTACACATTTTCCACCGACCTACATGTGCTTTCCATTAGCGGTGCTGACATTGTGTTAGGCGTTCAATGGCTCAAGAGCTTGGGACCTGTTACAACCGACTACACTTCCCTCACCATGCGATTCCATTGTTTGGGCCAACCCGTGGATCTCCGTGCTGATGTGCCTCTTAAACCTACCGATGTTTCTGCCCAACAACTAAGGCGCCTAATGCAAACTCATGCCACGTCCGCACTATTCCACCTCACCATAACACCTAATCCGCAACCTATTGCCGAATTTCCTAACACTGCTGTCTCTGCGTTAATCACCAAATATGTCACCTTGTTCGAAACACCCAACCAAATACCACCACCCCGTCTCATCAACCATCACATACACCTCCTACCTAACTCCAACCCCATTAATGTGCGCCCTTACCGCTATCCCCACATCCAAAAAGCAGAGATAGAAAAACAGGTTGCAACCATGTTATCTTCGGGCATGATTCAATTAAGTCGTAGTCCTTTTTCTTCTCCCGTCCTTCTTGTCAAAAAAAAAAGATGGGAGTTGGCGATTTTGTGTCGACTACCGGGCCCTGAATGCCATCACAGTGCATGACAGGTTTCCGATGCCCACCATTGATGAATTACTTGATGAGTTAGGCCATGCTTCGTGGTTCTCTAAACTTGATTTGTGTCAAGGGTTCCATCAGATTCGCATGGCTGAGGATGATATTGCCAAAACAGCTTTTCGCACTCATCACGGCCACTACGAGTATCGTGTCATGCCGTTTGGCCTTTGCAATGCCCCGTCCACCTTCCAGGCCACCATGAACGAGCTTTTTAAGCCTTTCCTTCGTAAATTTGTTACAGTTTTCTTTGACGACATTTTAGTTTTTAGTGACTCATTTGATGCTCATCTTCAACATTTGGATTGTGTTTTTCTCACTTTGCTACAGGGCCAGTTCTTCCTCAAACACTCTAAATGTGTGTTTGCCCAACGCCAATTGGAGTACTTGGGTCATATCGTGTCCCAACGCGGCGTTGAACCTGATTCATCCAAAATCCAAGCTATGGTAGAGTGGCCTGTTCCTACGTCCATCAAGGCATTGCGTGGCTTCCTGGGTTTGACCGGATTTTATCGAAAATTCATCAGGGTTTACGCCACTATTGCTTCTCCGTTAAGGGCTCTGTTGCGCAAGGATTGTTTCCAATGGAATCCGGAAGCTCAATCTGCATTTGAAACACTCAAACAGGCGATGATAGACGCTCCTGTTCTTACTTTACCAGACTTTAGCATTCCCTTCACCCTTGAAACGGATGCTTCTGGTCTCGCCATGGGTGCTGTTCTTATGCAGCAAGGTCATCCAGTAGCATTTTTCAGTAAACCGTTTTGTCCAAAGTTACAACGTGCTTCCACGTATGTTCGCGAACTCCATGCTATCACCACTGCTGTTCGCAAATGGCGCCAATATTTATTAGGCCATTCCTTTGTCATCTTGACGGATCATAAGAGCCTTAAAGACTTAATGTCTCAGGTGATTCAAACACCTGAACAACAAGCCTACCTCGCCAAACTGTTGGGGTATGATTATACTACAGTACAAGGCTGGCTCCTCCAATGTTGTCGCTGACGCCCTCTCTCGCATTCCAGATCAACCCATGGCTCCTTGTTTTGTGCTTTCCATGCCTCAATTCACATTTTTAGATCAGTTACGTCAATCCTTGCATACGGACTCCGAATTTTGTTCCCTACGTCAAGCTATACTTGAGCACCCTGATTCTCATGCAAAATATAGGATACATAATGGCCTCATTTTATTTCAAGGAAAAATCTGGATTAGTCCTACCAACTCATTCAAGCAACTGTTGCTCGAAGAGTTCCACACTACCCCTCTCGGAGGCCACATGGGTGTAACCAAGACTTTCAAACGTCTCAACACCAATTTTTTTTGGTCTCACATGCGTGCGGATGTTCAACATTTTGTTGCTCAATGCCACACTTGCCAACAATTGAAATATGAAACCAAGAAACCTGCTGGATTACTTCAACCACTTCCCATTCCTTCTGCCATATGGGAAGATTTGTCTCTTGATTTCATCACTTGCCTGCCTCCTTCTCGCGGATACACAGCTGTGCTCGTGGTAGTTGATCGCTTTTCAAAAGGAGTTCACTTCGGTCCACTTCCCACTCACTTTTCAGCTTTCAAAGTGGCTCAACTCTTCCTTGACATGGTGTGCAAATTGCATGGTTTTCCGCGCAGTCTTGTTTCAGATCGAGACCCGATTTTCATTAGCCACTTTTGGCGCGACTTATTCAAGTTAAGCGGCACCAAGCTTCGCATGAGTACTTCCTATCAGGCAGAGACGGATGGCCAGACCGAAGTGATCAATCGTGTGTTGGAGCAATATCTTCGTTCATTTGTGCACGACCATCCCTCACAATGGTCCAACTTCCTTGCACTTGCTGAACGGTCATATAACACCTCAGTGCATTCGGGCACTGGCCTCACTCCCTTTGAAATTACCTATGGAAAGCCACCACCAACTATTTCCCATTACCTTTTGGGCTCATCATCCGTGGAAGCAGTGGATAATCTCCTTGCGACACAAGAAGCAATCCACTCTTCGTTGCTGCATCGTCTTACTAAGGCTCAATCTGCCATGAAGCTCATTGCTGACGCCAAGCGGCGTGATGTATCCTACTCGGTGGGTGATTGGGTCTATGTCAAACTTAGACCCTATCGCCAACAATCTATTACGGGTTCTCAGTTTCACAAATTATCCAAGCGTTTTTATGGTCCATTTCAAATTCTCGAGCGCATTGGAGCAGTTGCTTATCGTCTTCAATTACCCGCGTCTTCCAAAATTCACCCAGTGTTCCATTGCTCATTACTCAAACCTCACAAAGGTCCTTTAACAACCCAACCTGCTCCTCTCCCTCCTTATGCTACCGACAATCATCCTTTGGTGGAGCCCCTCTCCATACTGGCCAGCAAAGTGGATACCTCCACATTTCCTCCGACCAAATTGGTGTTGGTTCAATGGTCTGGTTTAGCACCTGAGGATACAAGCTGGGAGAAATGGGATGACATACAATCAACTTTTCAACTTGGGACAAGTTGCTTCTTCCAGCAGAGGGTAATGATAGCAACCCAATCATTAGTGCCACTCCAGCCCATGATGCTCGGCCCAAGAGACACACTAGAAGGCCTAATTACCTGAAGGACTTTGAATAGATACAGGGAATCACCTTTAGAGAAATTGGCAGCCCTCTTAGGTGTCATTGACAGTTGTTATTGCAGCAGGAGTTTGTTAGAATTGTTGTCACCCATCCTTGTTTTTACATTTTGGCTAGTAGATTCCTTTTTTCGGTTGCCGTCATTTGCGGAGAGCCAATGATTGGCAATTGTAATCCTTATAAATACCACCTCAAATAAAATGAAAGGGATATTCAGACCATAATTCTCTTCTTAATAGTAAAATAGGTTCGCATATCATTCTGGCTCTATCAACCTGTTTTTTCTTTTAGGTTCATAAGGAACTGCAAGACACTATGGCTCAGCTAGATGCTATTCGTCATGAAATTCGAAGTATATCAATCATAAATCCTGGCCCTTTGACTCGGAGGCTTGTGGATAATCCTGACCAGACATCTGTCTCAAATGGTATTGTTTACATGATTTTTGGATTTTGTTTAGCATTCTAAAATTTTTACGGATACTGTTGATAAGATTTTGTTTAATCCTGTTATTTCTGCTGATAATGTAGACAACAGGAAACCAGAAGATTCTGTGGAGAGTAACTCAATGCCCAATGTTATCAAGGTTTATGGACCAAAACCACAACTTGATACAATTATCTATTGCTATAGGAACTGAGTGTGCTTACATGTCTATAAATATTTCCAGGATTCAACTTCAGTGTCATCCAATTCTTGCAATGTGCAAAGTCAAGCTACTATTTATGCCAGATTGGCAGAGTCCCCTGTCATAAAGAATGAGTTGTCAGGAAGTAGTACTGAAGTTGAGAAGATAGAAGACAAACTACAGCTTAATGTATTACCAATTTCTGCTGAAAATGCTGGACTATTACCAAATCGTGGGGGTATGATATTTTTTGTTTTTTTAGCTTTCCTTACGTTGATTGTTTAAACTGTGTAGGATAATTATAGAACTTTTTACTTGGTATTTTTATGTTTACAGTTTGTGCACTACATGTTGTGGTCATTTGATGTTTTTGGTTTCCTATCTATGTATGTCACATACATGCATATGTACAGGCAAAATATGTAGCTTCTTGTTACTTCCATTACACACACACACAGATGTTTTAGATGTGATATTGTTATTAAGTGTAACTTTTCATTTGGACTGTATTCGGTTAGCCAGAAGAGCTGGAAGTAAAGATTGTTGGCTGAGCTTCATTCATTGTTAATACTGTGGCCCATTTGGTATGGACTAGGATATCATAAAAATCGTTGTTTATTTCGTTGTGTAAACCGTAATTCCTTCTTTTCCTTTTCTTCTTTGTGAGTGTATGGTAGCTTTTTGTCTTGTCTGTCCATGACTGAATGATTGATGGGATTCTGTTTGTTTTACCACGATATCTGATATAAAGCAAGCTTTGATTTTATTAACAGCTGATGTGAAAGGATCTGACATAGTTCTAGAAGCAATTTTGGAGGCAGAGGTAGCTCATAATGCAAAGGAATTCTTTTCACATCCCCAAAATCAAATATGACTGATGATAATCCTACATAGTACATTAGTACCTTAATTTGTAGACCTTAAAGTTTTTCGCATTTGTAAATACAAAATAATACGTTGAATGTATTGATTCTTGATTTTTTATTTCTAGTTGTTCAGCCTAGAAAATATGCCTTTGGGTTTAAGAGATTATTCATTTTTCTGATTTGAACTGTTCCCCCTCCCCCCCCCCCCCCCCCCCCCCC